TTTTTTCAACTATTTATTCGACCAGTTTGATGTTATTTTTTCAACTATTTATTCGACCAGTTTGATGTTATTTTTTCAACTATTTATTCGACCAGGTTGATGTTATTTTTTCTCAGACTATTCGCCATTATCTTTTACTATTTTTTCATTAATTGTAAAAACCTAAAATTTTTTCAATTTTGTTGAAGAGTTAAAAAAATTAATTTAACCAATATTTTTTAGAAATGAAGAAGAAGCACTGAAGCAATATCTAATCCAGGTTAAGTTTTAAATCTATTTGTAATGAAAATTAAAGAATTAGTTAAATTTTTTAATAATACCGGAACTTTGGTTGAAACTCTGTATTTTAAAGAATTTGTTATTTTACTTAATCTTCTTTGCGCTCAGCTACAATTTAAAAAGTAATTTGTTTCAATCTGCTTTCTTTAGATTATATCAGTCTCATTAATCAATTTTTGAATATTTAAAATGACACTTTTAAGATTGAGCAAGAAGAAACAACTTTTCCATTGATTTATTAACAATTATCCGACACATTTGAGTTAGATCACTGAACTACATATTTGAGTTCGGTCACTAAACTACCTATTTGAGTTAGGTGGCTAAACTACCTATTTGAGTTAGGTCTCTGAACTACCTATTTGAGTTAGGTCACTGAACTACCTATTTGAGTTAGGTCACTGAACTACCTATTTGAGTTAGGCCACTGAACTACCTATTTGAGTTAGGCCACTGAACTACCTATTTGAGTTAGGTCACTGAACTACCTATTTGAGTTAGGTCACTAAACTACCTATTTGAGTTAGATCAGTGAACTACCTATTTGAGTTAGGTCACTGAACTACATATTTGAGTTAGATCACTGAACTACCTATTTGAGTTAGGTCACTGAACTACCTATTTGAATTAGTTAACTGAACTTCCTACCACCGATTAAACTATATATTTGTTTCTTAAAGCAATTCATTCATCCCAATCAAAAAATTTTAGATTATGGACAATTCTGAATCAAAGATAAGCATGGTTTATTTGAAAATGATCTCTATAAACGTCTAACTCAAATTTATTTAGTCTGTTCCCTGAAGTTTTTTTTCCCAATAATTATGTAGCATGCGATAAAAGGGGGGGGGNAACCAATCAATCAATTAATAAATCAACTGATCATCCAATTAACCAATCAATCAATTAACCAATCTATCAAGTAAACAATCAATAAAACAGCCAATCAATAAATCAATCAAATACTCAATTAATTATTTAATAAATCACCCAAATAATGAATCATCCATTAAATCACTCAATAACTCAATCAACTATTCAATCACTCAAGCCATCACTCACTCAATCAACTAGTCAATCAATCCACATGATTTGTTTAGCTGAGACATGAGACTGGAGCAAGACTGGTAGAGAGAGTTTGGTCTCCAGGTCTTACACAGGTAGGGATGGGCATCATATTGAGGAAGTAGGGATGGGAATCATATTGAGCAGGTAGTGATGGGTATAATATTGAGCAGGTAGGGATGGGCATCATACTGAGGAGGTAGGGATGGGCATCATATTGAGCAGGTAGGGATGGGCATCATATTGAGCAGGTAGGGATGGGCATCATATTGAGGAGGTAGGGATGGGCATCATATTGAGCAGGTAGAGATGGGCATTATATTGAGCAGGTAGGGATGGGCATCATATTGAGGAGGTAGGGATGGGCATCATATTGAGCAGGTAGAGATGGGCATTATATTGAGCAGGTAGGAATGGGCATCATATTGAGCAGGTAGGGATGGGCATCATATTTAGCAGGTAGGGATGGGCATTATATTGATCAGGTAGGGATGGGCATCATATTGAGGAGGTAGGGATGGGCATCATATTGAGCAGGTAGGGATGGGCATCATATTGAGCAGGTAGTGATGGGCATAATATTGAGCAGGTAGGGATGGGCATCATATTGAGGAGGTAGAAATGGGCATCATATTGAGCAGGTAGGGATGGGCATCATATTGAGCAGGTAGGGATGGGCATCATATTGAGCAGGTAGGGATGGGCATCATATTGAGCAGGTAGGGATGGGCATTATATTGAGCAGGAAGGGATGGGCATCATATTGAGCAGGTAGAAATGGGCATCATTGAGCAGGTAGGAATGGGCATCATTGAGCAGGTAGGGATGGATATCATATTGAGGAGGTAGGGATGGATATCATATTGAGGAGGTAAGGATGGGCATCATATTCAGCTGGTAGGGATGGGAATCATATTCAGCAGGTAGGGATGGGCTTTATATTGAGCAGGTACGGATGGCATCATATTGAGCAGGTAGGAATAGGCCTCATATTGAGCAGGTAGGGATGGGCATCATATTGAGCAGGTAGGGATGGGCATAATATTGAGCAGGTATGGATGGGCATCATATTGAGCAGATAGGAATGGGCATTATATTGAGCAGGTAGGAATTGGCATTATATTGAGGAGGTAGGGATGGGCATCATATTCAACAGGTAGGGATGGGCATCATATTCAACAGGTAGGGATGGGCATTTTATTGAGTAGGTAGGGATGGGTATCATATTGAGTATGTAGGAATGGGCATCATATTGAGGAGGTAGGGATGGGCATCATATTAAGCAGGTTGGAATGGGCATCATATTAAGCAGGTAGGTATGGGCATCATATTGAGCAGGTTGGAATTGGCATCATATTGAGCAGGTAGGGATGGGCATCATTTGAGTTCCGTTTTTTAAATGTTAAACTTTTTTATTTCTAAGAGGCTTTACAAAAATCTGAAATGTTCAAACTAATAAAAATTGGAAGATCTATAAGTTTGATTTTATAAATATGCAAAATTCTGACTGAAGATATTTTAGAAGATTGGTAACATCTTTTTGATCAGTCGTTTTGGTTGGTAAAAAATATTTGGTTAATGTCTGAAGCTTTTTTATTAAATTACATCAATCAATGTGTTTAAAGAAAATTCATAGATCGTAAATTGGGTAATGCTTTGTTTGAATAAAGCCAAAAACCTTGACTGTTTAAAATGTACCTAAAAAACAATACCCATCCCATCCCAATACCAATAGGTAGAATATAGTCCATGGTTAGATAGATAGATAGATCTCACCAATCATGCAGCATGTAATTTGTAAAAGATGTTTTTTTATTAAAATCTTCAAGATTCAACTATAATAATTTATTCTGGGATGAATTTCACATTTTCACGTGTTTTAATTTTTATCAAAAGAAGGTCCCAATTTGAAAACTTTTAATACTGCCAATCATCATCCATCCTTCATCCTTCAGTTATCAGTTTGTTCGTAGACGAGGTTTAAATACGGAAAGGGGGTCTGAACAAGGGTGGTTTGAAAGGTTTGGTTTGGAAAAATGAACAATTTAACTGGAGGTTGAGAAAAAAGGAGTTATCGAAAAGTATTGTTTCAAGGTATTGTTTATTTCAGCTGTTTAAAGGTATTGTTTATTTCAGCTGTTTCAAGGTATTGTTTATTTCAGCTGTTTCAAGGTATTGTTTATTTCAGCTGTTTAAAGGGCGTTTGAAAATGACTTTTCAAGGCAGGGTTTATGAAAAGGGGATAATTGATAAGGGATACGAAAAGGATGTTTTAGAAAAGGGGTATCAAAAAGGGGTGTTACTGAAATGAGAAAAAAACATAAGAACGTACCACAGAGCTATTAAAACAATATGATATTTTAAAAACAACTCTTTTAGTCACTTTTGGGGACTGCAATTAACGTAATTTTGAAGTGAGTTCCAATGGAAGGGTTCCAAGAGTAAAACTCTAGCAATAACCACTTTGCCGCATATTTCCGCAAGTCACTTTTACAAAGAAACTAATATTCATTATGATAAGTTTTTAGACAGAACAACAATAATATCTTTGTCATTAATGGTCAAACAAAGCTTTAAAGCTTACTGCTGTCCCCCAGGACTAACCTCGAGTGAACAGCATTCGGTTTCTTCTGTTTGAAATCAAACATGTTTTGGTCTTTTATTCAACAGTCTTTTAACTTACGGATTTATTTATCAAAACTTTTTCATCTAAAATATACATGCCGACAAAAAACAATTTCAAAATATGTTTTATGGGTCAAATTGTAATCGAAAGTCACAGCTTTCTGGAATATTGATAGAACCGTTAAATCCTCGTGCTGTGAAACGGACTAGTAAAAGGCTTGAGGAGGTTAACTTAAAATTACGTCAATAACAGTCCGTTTCACGATGATTTTTAAAATGTTTGTGTGTTTAGGATGGTAAACCAAGCAAATGGTGGATTTCTTTTGCGAAGAGAAAGTTCCTAAACGTTTCACTTTCGCAGACTTTTTAATAGTAACTTATTTATAAGCATTTGTAGAATTTTTCAAAAAATATTTTTTTTCTTCTTGAAGAAAACGATTAATTCCAGGAGTAGATTAATCTATTGTTCCTGTCACTGACCAAATATATTTTGCAGAGACAACAAATTCTGTAAATAAAGTGAACAGAATAAATAAAATGCACAAAATGTAAATAAAGTTTTCTATCTCATGTACTTCAAATTTTAAGAATTATATAAACATTATTAAAGAAATTAAACCATTTTTTGTAAAAAGATGTTTTAAAGAACTGTTTTTAACTAAAAATTTTAAAATCTAGTTTGAATCAATTTACACCCTACTTTAAACCTGTAGTACGACCATTTAAGGTTCATATTAAATACTATTTTTAACCCTATTTGGCCTGACGTCTGGTTTACTGACTGGTTTGTTGACTCTATTTTATATTGTGTTAGAAATCTATAACATTTGATAGGTATTTGGAAAACCCTTTGGCTTTACTTTAATAATCTGCAAAAAGAATGGCGAAATATCAAAAATCAAAATATTAAAAGCAAAATCTAGTTATTCAGCAAAAAATGTGCAAAAAACAATGCGCAACATGCAACAAATCATACATTTTTGAAAAGCCCTTGACCCAGCAAATTCAAATGTTCAAGAACGTTTGAAAAATATTAAAACCTATACATGTATTCAAGAAAAACTGAAAATGTGAAAATTCTTTTTAAGGCCTCTGTGCAAAAATAGGTGCAAAATTTCTTTGCAAAAATTGTGCTATATGCTTTCCAAAGAGCGTTCATTGATGAAATCCAATGGTGGGTAGTAGGTCTAAATATAGATTTATTCTGATAGGGAAAATAAGGCATTTAGGCAGTATGCCTGGGACTCAAGCAGAAAGCATTAATGCCCAACTTTTATCTTTAAGTGAGGGGAATGTGTTAGTTAGAAAAGCGATAAAATTTGAGCTTCCTAACTCAATTACTTTTTGAGTTATCACAAAAAAACTATAGGTCACATTAAACCCCCCCCCCCCAGGCCAAATAGGGTTAAAAAATTCACAAATTCTTTTGTTACTGATATTGAACCAAAATTTAGCAAAAATTGAACAAAAATTGAACAAGAATAATGTTAAAACTAAACCAAAATTCAATAATGATTTTTATTTTTGATTATTTTATAAGACATAGTTTACTGTTAGTTTGCAATAATCTTTTTTAAACTATGATTAAATTCAGAAAATAGATGTATACTGAAATGAGCTTTTCCAGCGTTTTAATAAGTAAATTTCAATCATGCAAACGTTCACAATTAACGATACTATAATGTGTTGCCTTAACCATAAGTTTTCGACCACTTAGCTCTAAAAATTGTTAAACAGATTAGAATATTGAATTATTATCTAAATCATAAATTAACGAAAAAAAATTCATGATAACGACGTAGAAAAAATGAATAACGAAAAAAAAGGAATATTTAAAAAAAAACCTCCCAGAAATCGTTTATTAGTTTTAGTTCGTCGAATCGTTGACAAAGGTAGGTCGGTAGTTTATTTTTTAACGATCGTTGAAGACCATTAATGAACGTAGACGACAGTAAAAATGCCGCTGGAAATTTGTCTTATTCGTCTTCTGAAATTTAAAAAATAGTTTTGAATACAAAGACCATATTTCGTTTCGTTTTTCGTTTTCACAACGAATAAATTTTACAAGAAGGGGATATTATTCATTTGGCGTACCGTCCCAGTTTGCCTTACACAGTCTGTAATTGTACTGTACAGCTTGCTCTAGCTGGATAAAATTTTGCCCCGTACATGAAATTAATCGGAGCTTACAGAAACAAGTTAACATTTATCGTTCATTATGAAACAAATCAAAACTATCGCTTTTCACGGTTTTTAAAAACAATTAACACCTAAATATGCTGCAGGGGACATTTCTTCAACCATTTTAAGATTTAAGTTGTCTTGTCACTGACATGAAACACTTAGATAAGAAGAGAAAATTTGCAAATATTCAGCAAATAGATACAAAATGCTATGAAAAGTTGCTTACATGTTCAAGTCTGGATATACTTTTTGTAGCCCTAGACTTATAGAATTTAGACACATAACAAGCTTTCTTTAGCTTAGTTTTTAAGAAGAAATAAACCAAATTCTCAAAGATTTTTGCACATGAGCATGTAACCTTTCACCTAGTTATTTGTAAGATTGTAAACAAAGGAATTAAGTTTATTGCCAAAAACCTTAAATTTTCTAAGTTCTACATCTGTGCAACCTGATCCTCTTATAAGTTCCTTGGTTGCTATAGTTCTGTAGATCCTATGGGCTCTCTGTGGTTCCTAGTTATACAGAATCTATTAGTTTTCTGGTTCCTTGTTTTCAGATCCTATAAGTTCTCTGGTTCCTAGTTCTTCAGATCTTATTAGTTCTCTGGTTCCTAGTTCTTCAAATTTTATTAGTTCTCCGGTTCCTATTTCATCAGATCCTACTTGTTCGCTGGTTCCTAGTTCTTCAGATCTTATTAGTTCTCTGGTTCCTAGTTCTTCAGATCTAATTAGTTCTCTGGTTCCTAGTTCTTCAGATCCTATAAGTTCTCTGGTTCCTAGTTCTTCAAATTTTATTAGTTCTCTGATTCCTAATTCATCATATCCTTTTAGTTCACTGGTTCCTAGTTCTTCAGATCCTATAAATTCTCTGGTTCCTAGTTCTTCAGATCCTATTAGTTCTCTGGTTCCTAGTTATTCATATCCTATAAATTCTATGGTTCTTAGTTCTTCAGATCCTATAAGTTCTCTGGTTCCTAGTTCTTCAGATCCTAGAAGTTCTCTGGTTCCTAGTTCTTCAGATCCTATTAGAACTCTGGTTCCTAGTTCTTCAGATCCTATAAGGTCTCTGGTTCCTAGTTCTTCAAATCCTATAAGGTCTCTGGTTCCTAGTTCTTCAAATCCTATTAGTTCTCTGGTTCCTAGTTCTTCAAATCCTATAAGTTCTCTGGTTCCTAGTTCTTCAGATCCTATAAGTTCTCTGGTTCCTAGTTCTTCAGATCCTATAAGTTCTCTGGTTCCTAGTTCTTCAGATCCTATTAGTTCTCTGGTTCCTAGTGCTTCAGATCCTATTAGTTCTCTGGTTCCTAGTGCTTCAAATCCTATTAGTTCTCTGGTTCCTAGTTCTTCAAATCCTCTAAGTTCTCTGGTTCCTAGTTCCTCAAATCCTCTAAGTTCTCTGGTTTTCTGCTAATGAGTTTCTCTAACAATACCCCTCTAGTGAAACCGTGGTCTGATTGTATACACATGACCCTGATCTTGAAGTTTACAGGGCACGGATTGGGAAATTAGAAAAATAACCTTTCCCCCATTT